TCATTTAAAAAATGCCACATTAATTTTCAAATTGGTTTTACTATCAAAAATTTATGCAAGTTTCATTTGCTCTACATCCGTGCTAACATCCATGCTCAGGTTTTTTTTTTTCTTTCATTTTAGCCGTCATAATGAATGTGTAGTGATATCCCATTGTGGTTTAAATTTTGTCTTTCCTGAATAACTAATGATGTTGAGCAACTTTTCATGTGTTTAGTGGCCATTTGGATATCTTCTTTTATGAAATGTTGGTTTAAGCCTTTTGTCCATTTTTACTGGGTTGCTTGTCTTTTTATTATTGACTTGTAGAAGTTCTTAGAATATGAGTCCTTTGCTAGATATATGTATTGTAAATATTTTTTCCCCAGCCTGTAGCTTAAGTGCTGTCTTTTGATAGACAGAAGGTTTTAATTTGGGCAAAGCCCAATTTATCAATATTTTATACTTAAGGTTTTCTGTGTCCTGTCTATATAATCTTTGTTAATGCCATCATCACAAAATAATTCTCATAGGATTTCTTCTAGAAGCTTTATAGCTTTAGCTTTGGTTTAGTTTTTATTTAGGTCTATAATCCATTTTGAATTAATATTTTTTGTCTATGGTGTTACATAGGGGTCAAGACTTTTTGTTTTTTGTTCATTTCTTTCCTTTCTTTCTTTTTTTTTTTGAAAAATGCATTCCCTTTCTGCATTGAATTATCTTGGTACATTTAAAAAAATCAATAGACCATGTAAGTGTGAGTCTATTTCTGGATTCCCTATTCTATTTCATTGATTGGTTTGTCTCTTCTTATACCACACTGTCTTGATTATTCCAACTTTATAGTGAGGCTTGAAATGAGATAATGTAAATCCTTCCATTTTATAATTCTATATCAAGAATTTCCCAACTGTTCATTGATGTGTAGGAATATAATTGATTTTTGTATATTACCCTTGTATCTTGAAAATTTTTTGATTCTTTTTATTTTTATTTTTAAACAACTTTATTGGGATATAATTAACAACCCATAAATTCATACATTAATGTGTAAAATTCAATGGCTTTTAGTATATTCAGATATGTGCAAATATCATCAGGGATATCTTGCTAAAATTTCTTACTAGTTCTAGTAGGGTTTTTTGTAGATTTCTTTGGAAATGTTTATGCATATAATCATGCTGTTGGTGAATAACACAGTTTTATTTCTTTAAACACATTTTAAGGCATTTTATTTCATTTTCTTGCTTTATTGCCCTGGCTAGGACCTTTAGTATATTGTTAAATGGAAGTGGTAAGAGCAGACCTTTTTGTTTTATTTCCACATCTTAATTTTTGAAGGATATTTTCTCTGCATATAGAATTTTCAGTTGGCCTTTTTCCCTTTCCATTTCTTTAACACTTTACAATATCATTCCATTTTCTTCTGGCTTTTATTTCTGATGACAAGTCATCTATAATTTTTATTACTCTTCTCATAAATATAATATGACCCTTTTCTTTAGTTTCTTTTTTATGATTTTCTTTTTATCCATGGTTTTCATCAATTTGACTCATGTTGTGCTGATATGTGGTTTTACTTCTATTCATCATATTTGTATAATTTTTTGACCTGCATTAGAGTTTGAAAATTCTTTCCTTTGTTACCCTATCTAGTGAACTGTCTATTTCCTATATTGTATTTTTCAGTTTTAGGATTTCCACTTAATTCTTTTATTTTTTAGAGTTTCCATTTGTTTGCCAACACCCTTCATCTTTTCACTCATTTTATCTGTCTTTTCCTCAAAATTCTTTATCCTTTATATTCATATTTACATCATATTAGTTATTTTAAAGTCCTTATCTCCTAATTCCAACATATGAATTGTCTGTGGGTCTGCTATTAATTTTTTCCTTTTGATTACAGATCACATTTTTCTGCTTTGTCATGTGTCTCATCTTTAAAATTGTATGACAAACACTGGATAAAACAGTAGAGACTGAGGTAGGGCATTTTAAAACTAATCAGGAGTTCAGTAAGGTTGGGTTCCCACTTTTTGTTTTTATTTTCTTTGTTTTCGAGCAGCTTGCTGTTACAGGGATCAAACAGTGGACCTTGGTGTGGGTTGCCACTTTTGTTAGTTTTCATCCACCTCAGTTTCAGATGTCTTGAGGGTGGGATCAGACACCTTTCTCCAGTAGAGATGTAGAATTTTAGTACTTGAGGTTTCTCTTTGCTGTCCAGGCTCGCCCCTGGCTCCCTGTGCTGCTACTGATCCAGCAAAAGTCCTATGGGAGAAAGCGATGGTTGCAGAGGACTCATTTTGTGTGTGTGGCTTTTCCAGATTCTGAGTAGCCTAGCAGCTCACATGCAGCCATTGAATATTCAGCTGGTTTTTCCTCATCCCAGCAACATTTTTCTGCATATGACAGGTTCAATCTTCCATGTCCCTGTGTCCAGAGATTCAGTAAATATCCACAGGCATGAAAGCAGCCACCAACCTCTGTACAACTAGAAAGGGACAGTCCCTCTCTATAATTAAGTTTATTTAGACTCTCTATATCTACTGCTCTTTGATGACTTTAAAGAAAAATGTGATTTTAATGTTTATCTACTGTTTTCTGATTGTTGCGATTGCTGTGGGAGTGACAGTCCCCTGTGGTTCTCTGTATTCTCACTGGAGGTGGAACTCTGACACTCTCATGAAGTGGTATTTCATCCTCCTTTCTGGTTCCTCCTGAGGAAAGCCCTTCCTTGCCCTGAGCTGCCTTTATACTGTTATGTTTCCTCTCTTTATGTTCCCAGGTCTTCTTGCTATTCACAGGATGTGACTTACCTCCACATATTCTGATCAGCAGTTGGAGTTTGGATTTTTCTGTCTTCTTATCTCTCACTAAGCTGATGCCCACCATTTAGGCTGTGAGGAAAATGGGAATTATTCTTCCAGATCATGAAGCACAAGACTTTCATGACTCTGTGTGTGTGTGTGTGTGTGTGTGTGTATGTGTGTGTGTTTTGGGAGTAGGAGGAGGTACAAAACTGGCTACTGTTATAACCAAGACCTGTACAACATTATCTTTCCAAATGGACACATATTGAACCCTCTCTGTCACACCAGCCCCACAGCATCCCACATACTTCAATGTACTCCTGCCTTCTCCACCCTCCTCACCCCAATTAACTTCACATTGACACCCTCCAGCCTCAAACGGCTTCCTCCCCTTCCCTACATTCCCCTACAGACCCATACTGGCCTCTCCCATACCCACCCTACACATTCCAGCTGTACTCTCTAGTGACCCCTAGGGCTGTGACTTTGAAGGGGGACCAGGGCCTCACATTGTCTAGGTGGGTCTCCAGAGGCCAGGAGCAGGCAGAGGTGGCGCCCTGCTTGTACAGTGGCCACCCCTCATCCATCTGATTGTGGCCTTGATGCCCTCAGGGGCAAAGGCGGACAGGAGAACATTTGAATCCACTTGAGCCTGACATGGGGGCCCAGGCTGGTCCTGGAGGCCTCCTGGGGTTCTCTGGGCACTGTATGGATGGGTCAGATATGAGTCAGGAATTCAACACTTCTCTCTACAGGTGATTATTGGTAACTGGTTGTCGTGAGCAGACAGAGGTTGCAAGGAACGAAGGCCAAACATGTTTGTGTCTTTCCACAATGTCGAATTTTTATTAATACAAGGATCATTAATACCAGCCACAGGCTATTACAGAGCCCTTGTAGGGAGCAATCCCCTAGGTACTAACCATTTCACTTGGTAGTCAGAGCTGCAAGCCCACAGGCTGAAGCTATACACCACTGCATTAACTTATTATTCAAAACACTAATAACGATTCAACTAAGTGAAGGTACAAAGAAAGAAAACAAGAGTCTGGGTTAACAAACTGGCAGATGTGCAGAGGTCAGTTGTTCTGGTCAGATGTCCAGTCTTGATAGGAAGGTCAATGTCTTGCAAGGATGTCTCAATTTGAGAGCCGTTTGGGCAGAGCCTTCAGGGGCAGATACCAACACGCGACAGTCGAGAGCAAGAGTAGCTCTCGACCACACAATCTGCATTCAGCTGAGCAAAAGCTTGGGTTTTTATACCCTTTTTATATCTCCCATCCATACCATCTGCCTAGTTTATCAATGCCATGTGTCTGTTGGCTGATGTCTTAGAGTGTCTGCTTATCAGCTTGGTTCAAAACAAGTTGTTTACTGCTAGTTTCAGTTTCCTGAGCATGACTGACCCCATTTTGTTTCTTAGCTTAAGTGCTTCCATTTTATATGCTGTATACATTGGTATATGTACCTTTCTTCCCCTTTATATTCATTTACAACATATGTATAACTATGTTCCTAGATAGTTTTGGTTACATAACGGTCTTCAGTTTTTTTCACTTATAAATACATCTTGGATATACTTTCTCATCAGTAATATAGATCAAATTCATTATTTTTAACAGTTATATAGTGTTCTATAGTATGAATGGATTACAAACCATTAAATCAATTCTCCATTTTTGGATATTTAAGTTTTAAAAATTAAATGTTATTACCAATGATTGACTATCTTTATACACCTTTACATCAAAGAGCCAGTATTTCTGGCATCTTGGCTTGGAAGCCAGGGCTTTGGCTATTCTTGGCAGAAAAGAATGGGCAACACTTTTTTATTTTCCTTGGAGGGGGCTCAACTGTGGGGAGCCATCCTGGTGCTGAGTCATAGCTACCCTTATGACATCATAGGTCTCCCCTCCTCCACTTTTGCCACCTGTGTCATGGCTGGAGGAACAGAGACCTGAGGGGATTTGAACCACCTACACCCAATCCATGTGTGACCAATAGTGAGTAAGAGAGAAGCCAGACATACCAGGCTTGTTAGGGATGTCGCCATGGGTCTCTCAGGATGCAGGGACTGCCTGACACCTGAAGTCTCTGGGAAGGCTTGGGAGCTGCGTGTGTGTGGGATATGGAATGGAGAGGGAGGGATGGCAGCCTCACTCTTGCCTTTCGACTAACTGCTGATTGCAGGAGGAGAAGCAACCTAAAAAAATGGATAACCCTACTGAAGACAATGAGCCTCAGCATAAGGAGAAGCCGGCTGATTCCCCTGCAGCACCACAAGCCTCAAAAGAGGAGGCAGAGGTAGGAGGAGCCAAGCAACCTAAAAAAATGGATAACCCTACTGAAGACAATGAGCCTCAGCATAAGGAGAAGCCAGCTGATTCCCCTGCAGCACCACAAGCCTCAAAAGAGGAGGCAGAGGTAGGAGGAGCCCTGACTTCGATGATCCTTGTGTCCTAGTTTTTGTGGCTTGTGTCTTTTTCATGGTCCTGAGCTAAGAACAGGAATAATAAACTCATTTTGTTTGTCCTCTTTCCCCATTTCTTTTTCAGGCTGAAACTGTGGGTCCTGTTGAGATGGAGAGAGTGGATAATGCTAATGCAAGCTTAGGAAAAGTATGACCCCTCACCCCAGACCACACAGACTGGGGCTGAGGCTGTGGGGGCTGTGGAATAGAATGGCCAAGATAAGGGAAGCTGGGCTTAGTTAGAAGTGTGTGTGGGTGTATGTTTGAGCTTGTGCATGTACACTTGCTTGTGAATTAAAATTTGAAGTGTGAAAGTCAAGAGATGTCAAGATGGGGAAGAGAAAAGAGAAGTTGAACTTTATGGGATGGGAGAAACTTTTAACACTATGACAGGACAGGGAGAGAGCAGGTTGTGAATTTCAGCTGGAGTCAGGATGCAAGGGCAGGGCGAGCAAAGGATGCCACTTTTCCAGCAGAGGTTGGGGCGGGATTTCTAAGGGGAAGGTTTAGGTGTGTAGGCTCAGACGAAACATGGTAACCCTTTGACCCATAGATAAGGGTGTTCTTGCCCTAGGCTGGCTAACCTGATCCATGAGAAAACTAGGTAGCCAGAGCAGGTATATACCCCCGTTTTACAGATGGGGACACTGAGACAGAAGGAGCAAAGTGATGTGCTTGCGTCCAATTAACCAGAGGGTGGCAGAGGCAGGACACTTATCTGGTCTTCCAGTGTCATGCCCAGTGCTCCTGAAGTTCAGAAGGAAGGGCAATTGTTGATAGGGAATCAAGGCCTTTCCTGGCACACCCTGGGGCCAAAGAGAATGGGGAGCATTCTCTGAATGTCCCCTCTTTTTTCCTGCAAGTCACCGGAAAACCTAAAGAAGCCCCCTGAGAAAGATCCAGTCACAAAGATCCAGGCCTGGTGGCGGGGCACACTGGTACGTCGGGTGCTGCTGCATGCAGCCCTCAGGGCCTGGATTATCCAGGGCTGGTGGCGGCTGATACTGTCCAGGCTTTTGGAGAAGAGGCGGCAGGCAGCATTGGAGAATTTTTCACGGGAGGAGTGGGCAGCGGTCAGGCTGCAGTCCTGGGCTCGCATGTGGCGCATCCGCCGGCGCTACTGCCAGGTGCTCAATGCTGCCTGCATCATCCAGGCCTACTGGAGGTGCCACTCCTGCTCATCCCGGGGTCTCATCAAGGGCCACTACAAAGTCACGGCCAGCCAGCTGCATCTTGAGCTGGAGATCTTGCTGGGCTCAGGGCCTTGCATTGTGACAGAGTGTATTCCCCTCCCAATAAAGCAGTGAAGTGGTCTTTCCCAGACATCCTCTGTTTGATGAGCTGCAGGTTAGGGCAAATGATGGCAGATACTTGGCATCTTATGTGGTAGCTCTGAGCAATTGGCAGGGGTTGTCTGAGGTCCTGTGTGGAGGAGGATTCTAAGCACCTTGTCCAGTCTGAGCAGAGACTGTGACAAATTAGTAATGTCTGCCATAGGTAGGAAAGTTGGGGGCACAGATCTGCCACATAAACCAACTCCAGAGAGCTCATTCAAGTTTGGTCTATGTAAATGGTGCACTCTCCCCAAGACTGTGTGTAAGGGAAGACTGTGGGGGGTGGGATGGTGGTCATGGCAATGGCGAGCTGGTCCCTTGGCTAACAGAGGTTCTGAGACACTGCCCAGATGTCTCAAGCTCCAGCTCCCTGTCTTATACTCAGGGTGAGCTCTGTTTCCTGCTCTGTCCCTCCATGTCCTGCCCCCTTTGTCTCATTCAGGGCCTGGGTCTGTCACTCCTGCTCTGAAGGATTTATTTCCTTGCCTCCCTTTGTCTTATGTTCAGTGTCTCAGAGCAAAGAGCTCTGACCTAGGTCAGATCCCCGGCTCTACCTCTCATGACTGTGTGGCCACGGACAAGTGATTTTCCTTCTGATCCCCAGCTTCCTGAGCTGTGAACTGGGGCTAATGATGCTCACCTTTCAGAGTGAATGTGAAGTACCCCCAAAATTTCAGCATCTTCTAAATATCAAGTGTACACCTTAAATATATACAACTTTAATTTCTCAATTATACCTCAATAAAGCTAAAAAGAAATTCAACATCAGACCAAAACAAGGAAAGGGGTCACATACATAAACCTTAATGGCTGATAGCCGTGGGAAAAGCAGCAAATCCTGAGGTCAACTGGAGTGGCCCTGCAGAGCACATGGAAGGGTGCTCATTGTTATTGGGGTACCCCTGCTCCCAGGCTCTCTCAGTGGACAGAGCTAGGGAATATGTTTGAGTATTTGAACAAGCAATACATATTGACGTATTGTTTATGTCTATCCATATCTATATTGAAGTCTAAGAGTTGACACTGATACCTCCAATCCCAATCCAAAATCGAAGAGTTCATGCTAGTTTTCTCCTCTCTCTATGTCTAACTCCTATTTCTGAAAGTGATACTCCTGGCTCCCATTATTCTTAATAAGTTTCCTTATTTGATCTTCCCTGTATGCAACTAATCTTCCATGACTGCTGCTGGCCTCTCTCCCATAGACACCGACCCCACCCTGCTATGAGCTCTGATAAGCCTCACTGGGCTATTGCTCTGTCCATGTGGTTTAGGTTCTAGCTTCCCATATCGGTCTGCTGATCTGTGTAAATGTCCCTGCCACCCAACCTGAGCTGGCACAAAATGTGAGGTACCTTCTGTAAGAGTATCCTCCTTACTGTGCTTAAGTTCTGATGTCCTACATCACCAAGGATGTGCCCTTTTCATCCCGCTGGAAATGACACCCATTATTGATATGACCTTTGACCCCTGCGGGGACTCCTCTCACTTCCTGGGTTCTGTGCTGGACGTCCCTACTATGCCAATGCCTTCCTCACGCCTCTTGGAATCCTTAGCCAGCTTGTGCCATGGTGGCTCCCTTTCCCCCACATACACCTATGTTGCACTGCCCAACCTAAGACTTTCAGACTGCATTGTTCAGGAAGGGAAGGAAAAAAAATGAAGGAAAGGACAAGAGGAAACTAAATTTCCAATTAAAAAAATAGAGACAGACCATTTGTAGAAGAAAATTATCAGTTACTGGCTAAATTCTGCTTCAATGTTTTCACCCCAAACCTTAAGGAAACATAACCACAAAGAAAACTCAGAAAATGTCCAAGAGAAAATGGATCGAAATATTTAAGCACAGGTTCAGGCCTTCCTCTCCTATTGCAAATTCATAGGAATAACAGAAAAGGAATATATTAATTTCAAAAATCTCTAATAGTACCTAAAAAATGGAAGGGGATCTCCAGTGGACAGACATGATGTGGAATCCCTAAAAGACAGAAGACAATGTGAAGACTGAAAGAAAATAAAGTCCTATAGAAGGTCTCAGGCAAATGCAAGAGTGGCCGTGCCATTACTCCATGCTTGGAGGCAGCTGGTCCAGAGAGCAGCAGGGGCTGCAGGCAACAGGAAGGGGCTGGCTGGAATATACCTGTGGGGGAGCGGATGACTCTCCAACTGAGCCATACAGTTGGCAAGAGAGGGCTGGTCTCTAGGGGGGATCTACGACTGCCCTGGGAAGGTATGGGAAAGCCTGGTGCCATGTGACACCCTTACACAGGAAAGCCCCTGCCCAGGAGATCGCCCACTGACATCCCACCCCTGACAGTCCACCCCACAGAAATGGGAGATGCAGAAGTCCTGCATTGGTTGAATGTGTGCCTCTGAGAAAGGAAGTAGAGAATGGAGGGAAGACACATTCAAAGCAGCGATGGGAGGATTTCCCATCATCAATGAGAGAGTTTAAAAGAGATTCTTCAGAAAGAATCGCTATGTAAGATGGTCGACCAAATGCACCAAGATGATTGGAAACAGATGGAACTCAAAACATGTTGTGGCATAATCTCAACTGCTGAAGAGAAAATACTGATTGATTGATTTTGTTGGTGGAATAGGAAGTCAGCTTTTACTCTCAAATACCAGCGACCTGAGGAGAGATGTTAGGCAAATCCATCTTTCCAGTAAGCCTGAAGGAGAATGACCAGACTAAAGCCATCTCAAAGCCTCAGATTCACTGAGGGGTTTTAAAAGAGGGAGTTGAGGGAATGGAACCTGGCAAGTGAAAAGGAGAGAGAGGGATGTGAGGTGTGAGGGATCCAAGCAAGGAGCCAGATGAAAAGTCTTGCCAAGGCTCCATCTGGTTTCTGTTGCCATCCTTGATGTTTTCTTAGGGTCCTGCTGGATTTTGATGAGCTTCAGAGTGGAGTCTGTATAGCTTTATTGATATCTTCTTTGGTTTCCTGGGATCTGGATAGTATGTGTTTCATGGCAAGTTTGCAATTCCAGGCTAACATTAATTCTTTCATACAATTGCCTCTCTACTCTTGAGTTACTTCAGTTCATGTTCTCTGTTTGCTGGAGTAAATCATTCAGCAAACTTTTCAGGGAAGGTTCTTGGTTGACATACTCTCTTAACCTCTGCATATTTGAGAATGTCTTCCAGTTGCCCTTGTATAGAAATGACACCTTGGCAGGGTATATAATTCTTGCCTCAGAATTATTTTCCCTTAAAACTGTAGATATTGTTCTATTGTCTTCTGGCATTTAGAGTTGCAAGAGGAAAATCTGAGGTCAGTCTGGCTTTTGGCCCTTTATAGGTAACTTGCTTTCTCTGTCTGGATACTTGTAGAATTTTTTCTTTATCCTTGAAATTTAAAAATATCACCAGAACATGTCTAGGTCTTGCTTTCTTTTCATTGAATTTTAAAGGTACCCTTTGTGCTTTTTCCATTTGTAGATCTAGTATGTTCAACTTTTGAAAATTTTCTTCAATTAGCTCTTTAATTACCGTTTCAGCTTCATTTTCTCTGCCTCTGTTTCAGGTATTCCTATTATGAGTAGATTGTGTCTCCTGGACCAGCCATCTAGGTCTCTCTTTTTCTTACCTTGATTTCTTTTCCCTTTTTCTTTGCATTCTGTGAAACTTTCTCATTTTGCATTTACTTCAGTAATTTGATTTTGTGGACAATCCAGCTTGTATCTTCTATTAACTCTCTCAACTCTGTGATACATTTTGAACTCTCTGCCTATCCCTCTCTAACACTGTGGATAGTTTGTTAAACTCCCTTGTTATACAATTCCTAAACCTTTCTATAGCTTCTATTTCCAGCACTACATCCATTTCAAGAGAAGGCATTTTCTCGATTGCATAGCTCTGTTCCTTTTTTCTGAACTGCAGTGTTAGGATCTTTTCAATAGCTCTTCTTAGCAAAGAGGACCAAAAACAAAGATTCAAAATACTGAAATATTTAAAGAGGAAATAAAACCAATGGTTTCCCTACCAAGGAGTAAGTCAGATTGACTTCAGCTTTCTCAGCAGCAACACTGGGTGCAAAGAGATAGTGGAGCAACGCCCCCAACTTTCTGAAGAAATATCTCTTGAAGCACAGAATTATAAACTCACCCCTAATATTATCCAAGTGTTATTCCACACCTCCCCTGCAATCCATAGAGTCAGGGACATGGCATTCATCTATAGGCTAAGGGGAAATCTAAAAACAACAAACACCTAACCAAAATCACCAAGCTCTGGAGGAAACCAATGGCATGAAAAAGAAATCCTGAACTCCACAAGCAGAAACATGATGGCCAAAGGAAACACTTAGAAGGAAATTTTGAAGAGAGAGATTAATATTCTCAGTGGACCAAAAGACATTTTAGGTGTAAAAGAACAAACTGTTATTAAAAAGCTATGTGTGAAAAATCTCTATAATGAGAACTACAAACCACTGCTGAGAGAAATTAGAGAGGATACAAGAAGATGGAAAGATATCCCATGTTCTTCGATTGGAAGAATCAACATTGTAAAAATGTCCATACTACCTAAAGTGATATACAAATTCAATGCAATCCCCATCAAAATTCTAATGACATTTTTCTCAGAAATGGAAAAAACTATCCAGACATTTATATGGAGTAACAAAAGACCACACATAGCCAAAGCAATGCTGAGCAAAAAAATAAAAAAATAAAAAAATAAAGCTGGAGGCATAACACTACCTGACTTTAAACTATACTACAAAGCTATAATAACCAAAACAGCATGGTACTGGCATAAAAACAGACACACTGATCAATGGAATAGAATAGAGAATCCAGAAATCAACCCACACACCTACAGCCATCTGATCTTTGACAAAGGCACCAAGCCTATACACTGGGGAAGAGACTGCCTCTTCAGCAAATGGTGCTGGGATAACTGGATATCAATATGCAGGAGAATGAAACTAGACCCATACCTCTCACTGTATACTAAAATCTACTCA